GCACCCTGGCAGCTTTGGATCCAAGTGCTCGGAAAAAACAACTCAAACAAACCAATCTCGAAGCACAAATGTTTTCGCTCCATGGGCGTACGCCGTACAATGCTCAAGCCCTCTCTCTGAGAACGTATGCCAACGCACTCTTGGTGGACCTGCAAAACAATGGAAGGCACGTGTCCACTGGCTTCCTGAGGCTTGGCAGGTCTTCACAAGGGCGGGAAAAAAATTGGAGAGGGACGTCCAAGTGTTCACACATGGTCGTGGCTCGCAATCCCGATGCACTCCGCGTGCCGTTGCCCTGACTCCCCGCACGTGCTGGCAGTCGGCATGTCGGCGTCGCAGGGGTGTCCCGCTCGGTCTGGCAATCTTCGAGCTGCCTCAAAGTCCGGAGATCTCACCATTGACCTGGGCCACATACTCCCTGAAGATGTCGAGCTCGTTCTGGCAATGGCTCACCATGGCATTCGGATGGTGGAGCTCGGTCTCCACTGCACAGACAAGGACGTGGATCACTGCAACAAAGACCAGCAAGTAGTCTCTGCATTGAACTCAGCGAAGTGGGGCTGTAGAGATTTTCCAGGAAGGTTGTCTGAAACTTTCTACCGAACAGTGGGCTTGGAACCGACAAGGGGCCTTCTCCAATACTAAAGTCGCACTACAGCCAAGCACAACCCAGCCAGGACCCCAAGCGAGGCACCTCCAACACTGAGGCTGTGCTACAACCAGGCACAATCCAGCCAGACGAGACATTTTCAGCACTAAGGTGGTACTACAACCCAGCACAATCCAGCCAGGACCCCAAACGACGCATTTCCAGTGCTACAGTTGCACTAAAACCAAGCACAATCCAGCCAGGACCGAAGGACGAGCATTACCAACTAGACCGCGGAATGTTGCGACTCCGGGCTCTCGCTTCTTCGCAGGTCTGGCCTGATTGGCTGACACGCGCTACGACTTCTGTAGTGCGCTGTTCAAAGCTCAAGCCCTCCCTCCGGGAACATATTCCAACAGCACAAGCCGTAAATCTACAAATGGCATGCATGTGTCCACTGGGTTCCCAAGCCCTGTCAGGTCTACACACAACCTAAGCAGATAAACGGGGTACCCAAGGCTTGGCTGGATCAATATGTCGGCGGCACTAAACACAACCACTACGCAGTGAGCTCCTGCCTTGCTGCGGACGGCTGCGTGCAACGCATCCGCCGATGGCCCGAAAAAGGTGTACAGCGACGCAAGCCACAGGCACAGCCGGCAAGTCAGGCAAATTCCGCATGCTTGTGGCGACTCTGTGGAACAAGTCACCCGCTGCAGCAACGCCATGCCGTCCAAGAATGGAGCCTTCGCTGCATAACACAAAACACTCCGCCACCGCATCTTCCAACCGTCGCTCTGAGCACTGGCACGGCCCAGCAGCTCACAAGCCAACAGCTTTTCCATGTACACCTTCGTCGCGGCTCGCAGGGAATGAAGCGTTTCCTGGCTCAGATCGCCAGCAGCAGTATGCACACAGTCGCGCAAATGCCAAAACGCTGTAGCACACGCCCCAGCGCACTCGACCCAGTTTGGGATGGCAGCCAAAATGTGGTTGAGACGAGGAAGGTGCACCATGCCGTCCGGAAGCAAACTGCGCAGCTTATCCATGCGGTATGTACGCCGTCGTCCCATGGTCTCGTCAAACCAAGCGGTGTCCACACTGCGAAGAAGGGCCTGTTGACGCAGCGATCTCTGCAGTGCTTGCGCCAGGGCCACGCCAGACACACTGCCTGCCATGACTGCAATGCTGTCGACCAGCAGAACGTCTGTCGCAAAGGCAATAGTTCCGGCATACCGGAAAGCAAAGTCTAGCGCATGCCAAAGCTCAGCATCGTTGCGGCAAAAGTCCCATAGGCGCTGCACAGCAAAACTGCCGCAGGCTGTGTTTGCATGGCTAGCGTGGGTCAGCGAGCAACGCGTCAACAAAGCCAGGTCCTTCTCGCAAGGCTGCACCAGATGAGCAATTACCCACAAGCGCGTGGCGTCAGGAAGGCTGTTCGTGCTCACACCCCACCACAGCAGAAAAAACATGAATGAACGAAACAGAACGGTGTCGCCAATTTGCAAGGCTTGCTCCAACGACTCGAGCCACGATATGCCGACTCCGTCAAAGGAGCGCGCATCCTCAAGGAATGAATCTGAAAAAGACAGTGCTGCGACACGAGGCGGGTGAGTTTCTGCATCAAGCTCATCGGCAACAACATCGTCCTCGCTGCCAAAATTCTCCCCGGCCAAATACTGCTGTCGCACCACTGAGCGCCAGAGAAACGTGCACAATTTGCAATGTTTCCGGCTGCCTGGGCTGTGACGCTGGTTGCGGGTCAGCACATTTTGGCATTTTTGCCGGAGGCCCTGGACACAACAAACGCGAACGCCTGCAGCGTCTACCAACCCAGCCGCCCTCGCCTGCTGCTCCCACTCCACGCTTTCACGTGGCACGGCGAGTGGCTGGAGGGCAGCTTTCCGCTTTTTGGCAACTGCCGGCTGGTCTTCAGACCCACTGCCGGCACCAGCACCCAACATCTCCAGTCTCACCTCTTCCATTGCCCGGCCAAGGTCCAACCCTGTACATTACTAGATGCAAACCACCCTGTCGGGATCACCACTGCCTGCAGAAATCTGCAGAACTCTAGCGCCAGCCCCATGCACATAAAACAAGGTTGGTTGTTGTGCTAATCGTTCAAAGAGGTGTACCCATCATGAGTACCTGAGTGATACCCCGCCGTGCAGGGATTTGTTGGGTTTGCCCTTTCAGTTTGGGGCTCAGGCGTCACCACTGCCACACTACAATTTGGGGCTTCGCCACTCTCTGAACTGATGAGGGTTCAAGGTGAGTGATATCTACAGGGAACACTGGGATCTCTCGTTGCAGCGTACGTGCTCTTATGAAAACTTGACCAGGCATCTCCCTTGAGGATGTTCGGTTCGTTCCCGCTGCTGAGTTTCGTCATTGCATTTGTTCATTCCGAACCGGGAATCCGAAGAGGCTCAAAGCCTAAATCGGATAGCAGATTGCAGCAGGACATAGCTGCAGAACACCCAGTGCACCGGCGGACACCACACAAGCTAATGCTCGCCGCGACGTCAGACGGAGAGCTCGACCACCCGAAGCTGCGAGCTCAGAAGATGAGGCAGCGACTCCATCAGATGAAGTTTGACTCGCTGACTGCATGATCACCTTGCTGCTCTATGGACAGGCGGCAGTTTAGCCAGAAGAAGGGTTTTATCATGCGACAGGTATGGACTAGACATGCCATAGCACACTATATATGGGGCGGTCGGCAAACGACCAAGTTGATTTGGAGATTCAAAGGCTTGATACATTGACTAGGTTTGATACATTGACTGGTCGAGTGGCTCCTTTACAAGAGCAGTAAAGGATAGCAGAAGATGGACCTGAGAACCGACAGCACTACCAACGCCCATGCCCATTGTCATTCAGCAGTATGTGTGCATGCCGTGTGCAGCAAAAATCTGAAGCCTAAAGCAGAGATTGAGACATGTGGTGTCAAAACGAGACAAGGGCCGAAGGAGGCTCGGCCTTGGCCAGGTGTTGGGCTCCCAGACGCTGTCAGTTCCCGTCGGGCCTCAAGGCTTTGGACAGTGCACATCCTGCAAGTGGCAGCTGCGACCCTCTGAGGCCGCATCTCTTCCGTGGGGGAGACATCAATGCTGCGTCAATGCTGCTCTGGTTCCACTGCTTCATAACCTTGTGGAGAGCAGGATCCTTTTTGCTGCCTTGCATGCCTGGCCTGCCTTTCGGCTCAGGGGTGCACCCAGTCATGCTGAGGAGCGTGCCATGTTCAGCGTGTCGATGTCCGCTGCGTCCGCCTACTTGGGGTCAGCTTGGAGAAACATCCGCAACTCACTATATAGGCCCTAAATAATTACCAATACTATTTTGGCGGTTCCCTTATTGTTGCTAGAGTATAATGGGCCCCATGAGGCCCCTATATTCGAAGAAGGTCATCCCAAAGTCCTCCGAAGAACGTTCTCCACAGGAGGGGCGCCCTGGGTGCTCTCCGCCCAAGCCCTGAGCCCTGAGCCTCCAGCTTTTCAACCACGCTTCAAGCAAGGATTCGAGTCCGGTTGAAAGCTGTAATGCAAACTCCTGGTCACATGAGCTCGCTTTGTCTGAACAGCCAAATATGTTAAGATCAACGACATCCTTATAAAGCAAAGGTCTCACAACGATGGGTAGCTCACGCAAAGATCGCTGGGCTCCTTACCTGTGGAGCCTTGCCTTGCACCTGGCAAGGACAGCACAGACCCTCTCGCACAAGCCCTGGCAGGTGAGCTGCTATGGGCCCGGCCGGCGCAGCCTAATGTCCTAATGTCGTCCCAAAGTCCTGCCAAAAACATTCTCTACGGAGGTGCGCGTCTGCATCGGTTGCTTCCCTGGGTGCTCTCCGCCCAAGCCCTGAGCCCTGAGCCTCGTTGGCCAAAGGGGTGTGGGACAGACGCGTGCACGATCTCTAGAGGGAAAAAAAAGAGGGTCGCTGTAGGGAAGCCCCAAAAAAGCGCCTCTCGGCTTCCGGTCGTGCAAGTGAGCTCCATCTTCAACAGAGGGCCTGGCCGGGCGGCGAGTTGGAAGCTGCCACGCTTAGGGCCTCGACCATGCCGAGTAGTAGTCCAACGCGAGTCCATGCGAGATGAGCCAGAAACATATTTTGTGACTGCCCCAAACTCTGGAAGCGTGGCCCGAGGTGTCGATCCCTCCTGGCCTCGGGGTTGCAGACGTCCCTGCAGACGGCCTCTGTGGCCTAGTAAGCCTAAATGGGTTTCCTGCAGAAGCCCCGAAACGCCCTATACAGGGCCACGCGTCCTCCCAGGAGCCCGCAGGATGGCTTGCAAAATGCCCCATATGGCTGCCTGAAGCCTGCACTCGCTGGAAAGACCTACTGTAAAACCGGCCCCCATGCGGAAACTGGGCCAATTCGCTTTGCAGATGGCTGCGTCTCGTCTCAGACTCAGACCTCCGTGGGCTTTGCGGAGGAGGCCTGCTCAGACCTGGACTTCCGTGGGCTTCTCTGCGGAGGCCGGGGTGATGGGACGGTCAGCAGGGTCGGGGCGGTCTCCGCGGTCTCGGGCTCACAGCGATTCGAGTGCTCGCCGAAGCCCTCGGTCTTGCCGTAGGCAGCCTTTACAAGACAAGCCATGCAAGGCGCATGCAGACTCGGACTCAACTTTCTTACTGACATTTGCTTTCTCTGCTTACTCTGCTGCTGTCGGCCTCGGAGTGGCAGTTGATATCGACGCCTGCAGCCGACACGATGCACGAAGGTTTCACTGACTCAACATGGCCTCAAGGAACACACGGGACTGTCGCACAACAAGCCCACAGCATGCCACTATGCACAACTGTCAGATCGCACCACAAGCACCTGCCTTCAAGCTCCTGCTCCTCCGACACCCTCATTCGCATGACAATGCGCATCAAGCCGAAAATCACCGCCGTGACAGCGGCAGAGTAGACCACGCCGAAGGCAGCGCCAGCCAGGTTCTTTACCAGCAGCAGCCCGTCGCCCCCGTAGATGAGGCCATCACCTGTGTCGAAGAAGCCGCCAAGAATGGACCCTGCGAAACCTCCCACGCCATGAAGCGAGAAACAATCCAAAGAGTCGTCCACGAGGTTCAGCTTCTTCAGCCCACGAGCGGCAAAGACACAGCAGAGGGCTCCGATGGCGCCGACGCCCAAAGCACCCAAAGGCTCCACGAAACCGGCGCAGGGAGTAATGTTCACCTCAAGGTCTCTTGGCTCTGACTATAGTGAAACATCTTGCGACAACAGTCCTCGACGAGAGAGCATGCACAAAAACAGTTTTCAAAACCTGAGCGTGTGCCTGAATTCGCTGTTTGCTCGTCTGTTTCCTGTCCTGGGGGGGGGTCTGTTTCATGTGGGCCGGAGGGCCCCTCCGCCTCGGGCCCGATCAGAAATGAAACTGCTTCGCCCGGCCAAGCTGCCAATCCCGCTACCGCACCCGACATGGCGCCGATCGAGGTGGGGGCGCCGTCCAGAATGCGCTCCACGGTGATCCACATCACCATGGCGGCCGCTGCTGCGATGTAGGTGGTGGCAATGGCCAAGCCACAGTCGCCGTTGGCCGCGAAGGCAGAGCCGCCGTTGAAGCCGGTCCACCCGAGCCACAAAATTCCGCCGCCCAGGATCACGAACGGCAGGTTCGCCGGGAAGCTCTCTGCCCGGTGCTTGCGCGCACCCAGCAGCGATGCCAGTGCGTAGGCCGAGGTGCCGGAACTGATGTGGACCACCGTGCCGCCGGCAAAGTCCTGGCATGACGAATAAGTTTGGGAACAGCCCTGCCGATCCTGACCAAGACATGACCAAAGTCGAATTGCAAATGAGAAAAGACACTCATCGTGAGATCAACTCCGAGTGAATGCAGACGACAGGGAGGGAGAAGGCCTAACCAAAAAAACGGAAGAAGATCCGCACACAGACTCACTCCATCACACCATCTGCTTCAGGAGCAGGTAAAGTCCTTGGTGCCCATTTCAGCGATCCATCCGCCACCCCAGATCCAGTGGCACAGCGGCACGTAAACGGCCAGGACCCAGGCAACGATGAAGATCGCATAGGCCGAAAATCGGATGCGCTCGACCACCGCTCCGGAGATAATGGCCGCTGCAATGATGGCAAACCTCAAGCTACCCATCCACCCAAGCTAAACATGCATCCCAAAACATCCAGAAGACGCGACACACATGTGCATTGAGGATTGGACAAGTGCCTACAAAGTCGCGATGGGACAATCCAAGCCGCGTCATCTGAAAGACAGCAAACGTCAGGCCGGGCATGGTGGTGCCGGGCCACACCATGTCCTTGTTCATGGTTGGGATAGGATTAAAAATTTACATCTTGATTCCTCATTGGGTTTAAGTACCCATAAAATTGTAACATGTTACCCAACTTTGACAAAGTATCCAGGTTCCGGAAGCCCACATATGTGAAGCCCTTGCCCACACCCCACTCATCGAAGGACCAGCTAAAGCCGAATACCAACCAAGTGATGGTCGTGAGCCCCATGGAAATGATTGACATCATCATTGTGTTCACAATGTTGTTGTCTCGCACTAAGCCTCCATAGAAGAAGGCTAGTCCTGCAAGATCTTGTTTGTATCTGTATCTGCGGCACAGCCTATACCCATGGGTGCTTATGAAGGCAGCACGCGGGAGAAAGGGCTATGGAGCTAAACCCAGAGGGGAAAGGCGCAGGGAGGGGAAACAGCAGACAAGCGCAACCAGCGCGCGCGCACTGGGCAGCAACAGCTACACATCATGACTAATGCAAGATCACACCGTGGCGGATGTACAAGTGACAAAGGGGGTCTAACCAAGAACCCAAGCAAACCCGAAAGCTTCAGGGACAATGCGAGTAGGAGGTGTCAAGTTTGCACGCATCGACCTGCAACTGCTCACGCCGTTGAGGAGAAGGCGACGCCTGATAAGTTATGTGAAGCCCGTCTTAGAAGTGCATGCAAGTGCTCTGCATCTGCGACGCAACCTATACCCGCAGGGGTTAGAGACGGCAAGCTCCGTCTTTGCGACATGTGCGACCGACCTACACACTGTACATACTCCTCGTATCCTGTGGGCAGGTGCAGCCAGCAAGCCCGAGGAAGCAAGGGATTTAGCGTTATTCAGGGAGGAGCCAACGAATCACACGAAACGGGAGTGAGAGCATCGTCACCGCACAAGTCCGCATTGCAGGAGTCCTGGTGTCATAAAGAGGACCAGAGCGCAGGACGTCGCCATCCAGGCGGTGTCGCCATTGATAAGACCCTCCATTTCTTCGGCTTGCTCTTTGTCTCAAGCTTGGAGCGTCCTGGCCACACTTGAGCCGAAACTCTGAATTGGTCAGGCCCAGGCTAGCCCATGCCAAGTAGCATTGCGACACTCAGAAAAAGCGTGCAGCACAGCTGCCAGCGAAAACTCGCGAAAACTCTACACCCCGCCGCCGCCGCCGGCCTGCAAGCCAGAGTTGGGCTGCATCCCTGGCCACGGGGTTGCACGGATTAGAGTCCGTTCTACGCGGACTCAACAAACATGATATACTATGATTATAACGGTGTGCACTAGGCACGAAGAGAGGAGCCATGAATCTTGCAGAACCCGAACATTCCTTCACCGAGCACAACACACGCAGGGATTCACGTTAACCCCGATAACATGATGCCATGACACTGCTTGTCACTCTTACCACCCTCTGCAAACAAAACACCTCGAGGGGTGAAAGAGGAAATCCGGGGAAACCCGACTACGCCCGGAGAACTCTCCACCCCTGCATTGCCAAGAACGATAAACGCCTACAAAGTTTTGGAGCTTCGAATCGCCACGACACTCCATAAATTGCAGAACGACAACACCCTTAGGCCAGAGCTCCATCAAGAGACCATGTACCTCCAAAACGAAATCCGAAACAGCAAAATGGAAACTCTAGACTCCGCAAGCCCCCAACACTGAACCCAGCGAAGCAACCCGAAACCACAAATTGACAAAGTCTGCATCCAATGCCCTAAAACCTTAAATCCTGATCCATTCCAAGCCGAGCACCCCACAGCAAGCACCCGTGAAGCCTGTAGGCCAACTCTTCCCTCAGTGCCAAGTTGGAACAAGTTCCCGAGTTGTCGACAAACCGCTACGCTCACCCGCCCGCCACCAGATGCAAGCACTTGCTAGGTCTTCCTTTCGCAAAGAATTCGTCTAGGAAGACAGGTCATTTACCCGCCCCGCCCCCGCTGCCGGCTGCCTGCAAAATCCCAAGGCGAAAGGTGTAATTTCAACTTTCAGCAAGCACGTCGCTCCGACCCTCGCCACCCCATCTGCTCGCTGCAGCTCAAGTCCACACGCAGCCATCGCTCCATGAGTAATGGCGAAAGGTAAAAGTTCAACTTGCACTCACCAGGAAAACAGTTGATTCCACCCCCCCCAAGCGCAAAGTCCGGAAGCGGCCAACTCCCATCAGCGAAAGCTAACGGTGTGACTTCAACTTCCGCCGCGAAAACAAGTCATTCCACCCGCCCTTCAACTTGCCCAAGCCGCCTACACCAACACGGCAGGTCTGCTACAAACTTCAGTGCATTGCTGCACTACAGGGCAAGCATCTCTGTGACCTCTGCAAGAGCCTGACAAGTCTGATTTCACAATCAGAATCACATGCACGTGACTGCAGGGCCATCCTTTTCAGTTGATGTTGTTAGCACCGCTCAAATGTCTATCTTTTCCCTCAGACCTAGATACCTGATCATACTCAAGCTCAGAAGCCCATCCATGCAAGATTATGACCCTGCTTCTGTTTGTCTCCGCCACGACAGCGACATATTGCCCGAAGCCCTCCGAGGTGCATGCACAGGGTCTCAGCTGCCACGCAGGCAGCATGTCGCGCCTGCCAAAGCTGCTTAAGTTCCCACGATCTGAAACAGCTTAGGTTGCAATGTACCGGCCACCTGGTTTCATGTTTCACGCCACTTGGCTGCTCTCCCCAACCAGCGCTTCTCGCAGCAGCTGTTGTTGACAGTTATCCCTGAGGCCGGGCTATGCCTGCTCCGTCCCTGGTTCCATGTGTAGACGATGCCCAGGCAGTCGGAAGCAGTCGTTACAAGTAGTAATTCAGGGACGGGCCTACACCTTTACGACGTCGTGCCAAACGGAGCCAGAGGCAAGTGCAAGCCGGCGCAACAGCTTGTGAACGACAGCGACCGCGACCGAGCCGGACATGCGAGACCACCAGTTGTCAGCGAATGGCACGCTTCCGATCCAAGACCCCCTTGCAGGAAGCCTCTTCATGGTCGGCTCTGTACACAGAAACAGACTACATCACTCCGCATAATCAAACGGGGCAAGGGCCTTTAGGACTTTCAGTGCGCAGTCAAGGCAAGGTCCCTATGCAAAAAGCTCCACGAGGCCCCTGCGAGAACATGCGCCTGCTGTTGCTGCCGGAAGCAGTAGGGCCAGAGGTCAGCGGATGGCCTCGCAATCTTACAGCACTAGATTTACTAAAACCTCAACAGATGTGTGAAGCGGCCTGCTTGCAATACACCCTCAGAGCCAAACCAGATGGAGTCGCTCAGGATGTCAGACTGGCCATCGCATCGCAAAGAGATGCACCATCGTCTCGTATGTGCTGGTCAACTCTAGCAACAGCAACATCAACAGCAGCCATCATCTGCACCATCGCCACCATCACCATCATCGCCCACGTATCCCACCTTCATCATCTTAGCATGAACATCCAGCGAATCAGAGCCACACGACAGCTCGGGATCCTTCACTTAAACTGTGCTCGCCAGGCTTGGAGTCCGAGCAGAACCAGCTTTCTGCCACACATCTGGGAGCTTCTCGAAACAGCGGCAGAGGCACGTGGCGGAGTGATAACAGAGAGATCATAACGGGCCCTGGTCCCCCTCAGAAGACAGCAATGCTTGACGAGGGCCTATCCATAAACGCAGGGGGTACGATCTTGCGAAAACCCTTGCCTGGAAAAGAGCACTGGGGCTAGGCGATCAGATTGCTAGCACTATGGGCTCCCACGTTCGGTGAAGCTTTCGAGAAACAAGGCTCAAGACCCCTTAGACGGCAACTCCACTGGGATTCCAGCGAGCTCCGTCGCGCCCGCCGATGCAGTAATGGAGACGTCCGAGCACATCCCCGTGCTGATGCCACACATATCAGTACCACAGCGACGGCACGATCGGAACTGTGAGGAAGACACGCTCGACTAAACCGGCTTCCTTCGCATAATTACGCATGCAGAGTTGGTGCCCTCCGAGGGCATCCATCGCTGAAGTTTCAACCCTGAATGTCTGCTGCGAATTTGAGACTTAGAGGCTGCGGACAGTCCAACCTTCCCGCTTGTGCCAGTACACCAACCTGTGGCATCAACTTTCAAAACTCTCCGCGATCGCTGGTTACTCTTCTTGATCACGACCTACATCGTGTTGATGGTCATAATGAGCACAAGTTCAACAACAGGAAAACACAAGATGCTCAGCAGGGAGGGGAAGAGCATGCAAGCGCTGGCAAATCTTACCCTTTGCTCGCCCTCGTCGCAGCCAAGGGTATTGTGAAACAAATCCTTCCGCTGGAAGTTAACAGTATCGGCAGAAAACTGATCCTAGATGTATACATAAGAATCCGCACTATAAGGACTGCTGCCTTAAGTTGTTGTTGAGGGTGTTGTACATATGTTTCTCACTATCCGGCGCCAATCGCCTCAGGCGCAGCACAGTCGGATGAAAGGGGAGTCAGCCACACCACGCGAGTCGCGGGGAGACAAAGCTAGAGTCAGGAACTGCCGGGGCATATTGTAAGGTTTTCATCCGGTAATTGTGCCTGCAAGGCTTCTCGAGGGTTACAATGTGTCATGATGCTGTAAGGAAGGAATATCCCACACATTGCATGATCTTTCTAAGGTTTACAGAGCTGCATCAGGTAACCCAGGTGCTCGGAGGACACGTGGCTGTGATCGGTTCCTGTGTTTGTTCCGGAATCTTGGCCCCAAAAAGAATTCTATGAACCAATTATGCCCAACAACCCTCTCTGCCCCCCCTAAACTCCAGCCCCCTAAACCCTAAACCCTGAACCCTTATCACAACGGAGGCTCCCTTGCTACTGACAGCGAAGGAAAGCGGCTCTAGAAACGGGGGCTCGGTGCAACTTTTCGGTGCTGAACCCAGCAGCAAAATGCTTCTGACATTACGATTTAGACAAGTTAAGGAGTAGGGTTTTGTTTTTTTTGTGCACCTTTTTCCGTCCGCCTAAAGTCTTAGGAATCAGGAATTCGCTTTGCGAAAGGCATGTATGAACCCTCTAAGGAGTAGGATCTAGGGTTTAGTGCACGGTTCAAACTTGTAAACTGGAGTTTCGGGTTCAGGCTTCCTGCGATTCGGGGGCTCGGGGAGCTGTCTCGGCGCCGTGCCGCGTCGCCAGACGGCTTCTGTTCCGGGAAGTAGTACCGCCAGATGTCTGCGGATGCCCTCAGTATCTTATATAAGGTAGCATCATATAATACATTCTTAGATAGGATTCATAAACAGCATAACATCTCAACGGACTTCAGACTTGAGTCAGCCTTTGAGTGAGCCGACTGCTTGCAATACACACTCCGAGCCGATGTGAAAGAGGGTAGCGCCGGATGGCTGCGAAAGCTCAGGAGATTTGCCATGATCTTCTTCTCTCTGTGCTGAGCATACCGATCAACAGCACCAGCAGCAGCCTCATCTTTGTCGCTGTCGCCGCCGTCGTCATCATCTGCACTGTTATCATCTGTATCGTCATCACAGGGCTCTTGTTGCCTAAACGTCCCAGAGTGCCGATAATCCCTCTGTAACTCTTCTTTGCTACCTTAGCTTGCAGCAAAAGTGCAACAAGTCGTTTGCGCTAACCTACTTCCTGCTAGTTTACTACGGTCCCGGCGTCACCGCTGCAATGAATGCTCATATACACTAATTTTACATTTAGTTGATTCCGACAGAAGGCTTTCACACTGAGCTACTTCGCACAGAGAGACTTCAGACTGAGCTTCTTGACATAGAGACTTCACATGAGCTGCTTCGCAAAGGACTTCACAACGATTTGTTTATAATAGCTGAAACCAACAACCAACCTCTGCAACTATACTACAATAAACAATAAATAATCAGCCATAAAGCCCTAGTCCATGCAGCTTTACCACAATATACGCCAAAGCCTACGTCCAAGCAATGAAGTTCCTGAATCCGTTGCGAAAGCAGCCGCATTCCTTTTCCGGGGCCCCTGCGAGGACAGGAAGTCCTGAAGCCTGAACGGGC